AATAATATAATTATAATATTATATAATATAATATAATTATAATATTATATAATATCATAAATTGATAATATAATATATTATTATATAATTAATTTTTTATTTATAACATTATATATTTATTTATTTAATAATATCTATACCCATTTAATATTCTGAGGAGCCAACGAGAGAAAGAAACTTTTTGCATGAAATTTTACAAGAAAAAATTTGTCTTAAAGAATATTCCTGAACTACCAGCTCTCACGTCACATATTTCTAGAATCTTCTAAGTAGGAATCAAGAAAATTTGTCCATCCCTGAGGTGTACGAAAATAAATAAATGCTCTCATATCTTTGTACTTATCCTGTGCCTACGTAAGTTGTAATATTATATTTTTTTTAAACAAAACAATTTAAATAAGAGATAATGGAATCCATAAAACTTAGAAATGTGACTTATGAGAAATAATTTTTATTTAAATAAGAGTTTTGACTATTAAACCAGAGCCGCAGGGATCATGGAGATTGTAATGCTATTGAATGATTTTTAGTAAAAGTTAAAGGTACTCCACTAAACGAATAAGTGTTTTTAATTGTTTTTTTTTTAAATTCTTTTTATTATTATGCTACCCCACATTTTCTTTTCTTGGAAAAAGATTGTATCCCTCGCTCCGAAGACAATTTTTTGGGAGACTTAAAATTTGGCAGTATCCACCCACCTTTCACAGGGACAAGGGAAGGCAACCGGGAAAATCTCCGTACCAGAAGTTCCACATGACTTTCAGTTTCTGGGGAGGACGAGGCGTGGATTGAAAGACCGTTCAAAACAGGAACAGAGATTGCCACCCCAACAGCACTAATGCCCTCCAGCTTGCTAGGGTTAAAAATAAAAATAAAAATAAAAATAAAAATGGAGTACCATATATCAAGTATTATGTCTGATATAAAACAAGAATGAGTTGTAAATAACCCAAAATTTCATTTCCTGCCTTTAACTACGTGAAATTATTAGCAAATCGCATCAATGAAGAAACTGGGGAAAAAGGACACACTCTTGGATTCAGCCATGTTAGTGCTTTGATGGAATACTAACCCCAAAACTGAGACGTCTTTGTAGAGCCTTATTAAGGTTTCGAGCTCTGCAAAAACTTCCTTATTAGGCGCCATGGAGAAATGTAAATGATAGTGAAAGCCATAGAAGAGGAAGTTGTGTGCTTTGATTTATATAGTTGTGATGTGGTGTGAAGGGATATCAAATGAATTTTTCTCTTTCCTTTCATCAACCTCAGGGAACTTAAGCATCAATCTACAAGAGAGTGATACACCTCAAACTATAATAAATAAAGAGAAAGAATAAATTTTTAGTTTTTTTTATATACGATTTTAAATCAATAAATTTTTTTTTCACTTTTTAAAAAAAATTTTATATAACTTTGTTAGAAATCACTTAATAATTTTTTTAATTAATTTTACATGTACTTTTCTATATCAATCACAACAAAATGAACATTTTAATTAAATTTTATTACAAAACTTAATAATTTTTTATTTATTTTTTTTTGAAATTTTTATATAATAGTTTTTTTAATTATTTACTTAATAAAATTTCTAACAAGAAAAGTCAGCCATTGACCGGACGTTTCTTAAATAAAAGTAGT